ATATTAAAGGATTATAGGTTGACAAATATTAGAAAAATCTTTTGTAGGAAGAAAAAAAGAAGAGAGAAATATTATTAGATTACTATGCATACAAAAGAAAAGGTGACTGACTCCTTCACACATGAGAAATCAGTCTAAACTGTCTCCAAAGGAAACAAATAAAGTACATAATTTTGATGTCTATAATACATAATACTTGTTGCTTCTTTTATTCTATTTGATTGCTATATATGTGTAATATAAAGAGACGATAAGTTGATGCTGATTTGAACCCTAGTGGGGGTAAAAACTTGTTCCACTAAAACCTGCAATGTGCATGAAGGAATTAGTAGAAATATCAAGTACAAAAACAAATTTAATATATTTTATTAGAATAAAAATTATAAAAAGAGATGTTTAAAAATCTTCATGTGTAATTTATGAATGGATACACTACACTCTATATATTATCAGCGTATAAAAATTAATCTGTTAAACAAAAAAAAGAAAGACCTTGTGAGGTGTTGCAACCAATATCGATGGTATCGTAGATATGTTTAATAGTGGCCTTGTTCGCGAACCAAAAATGGCGTTTGACATGATGAATGCAATCGAGTACTCCTTTAGTATAATCTCCACAGCCTCCTTTTACACAAAATTGTTTGCCTTCTTCATTTGTTACATTTAGCCATCCAGACATTGTGAGTGTATGCTTTTTTGAACAAATTGGAGATGTCTGCATATAATATGAAAAAAATTTTAGTATAAAACAGCAAGTTGAATTAAAATGTAGACCCAAACTCATTGCAAGTCTAATTATGATAATAAGTCAATATTAGTTTAATAAAATTCTGCGTGCATCACTGAATCTAAAGGAGAGATGAAGCTAACAACTTACATTTAGCAAGCAGAAATAGGCACTTCTCCACTGCTCAAATGGTGCCAAATTCACATTTCCTGTGGGGTGTTTCCTATCTGATGAATGAAATAAGACATGTTAAAACTTATAGTAATATTTTCTCATGCATAATACATAACCTGCTCTTTAATTTGGTTTTAGCCGAAATCTATATCTTTCAATTTTGGGTGTGCACTAGGAGACACTTAAATTTATATAAAGATCAACAAGTAGATACACCCATCTTGCGTGATGTTTTACAAATCAGTTCGAGTGTATCTCACACGAACGTAAGATGATTGTGTCTACTTGTTAAACTTTATATAAATTAAAGTGTCAGCTTGTACATACTCAAAGTTGAAGGACAAAAAATGTCAGTTGAGGTCAAATTAAAAGGCACGTTTATGTATTATTTCTTTCTTAAACACAAAATGAATACGCAAGAAAGGGATCTTGAAATTTTATGTATACTTTCAGCACTAACACCAGACATCACTAAGAAAATGCCCAAAAATAAGCTTAGTATCCCAATTCTTCTTCCATAACTCTGAGAATTTTCCATAGTTTTTAAAGAGAAAAAAACAAATTCTAAATCTCAAGATAATGAAGAAGTTCTAATTACAAGAATGTCTTAGTTTCTTAATCCATAATTAGAGTTTTATATCTAGAAAGGAAGAAGCATTGGAGAGGGGATTTTTCTTAGTAAAATAGGTAATATGCTGAGAATATAAAGTGAGTTGAGAAAAACAAGAACAAGATGTAGGAAAATTAAGTTTTTGTTGTTTTATGTTGGAGAAAAAAAGACAAAAATCTTCATTGGACTAACCGAGATATTAATTTATAATTATAGTGGAGTACCGGTAAGTATTCCTTGATTCTTAATTTGAGGTTTTAGGTTCGAACATCGTTTATGATGTTGCTTTTGTTAAGGAATGTTTTATCTCTATGTGAAATTTTCTGACACAAAGTCGGATTAAATCGAGCTGCAATACAACTATTAAACAACAACTATTGAAAAACAGTTCAGTAATATGTTTTGAGTCTCAACTTCTAGGTAAACCATCTAGCTCTCAATTCTCCATCTAAATCACCCAACAAGTCATAAATAATACGAAAAAGGACTAAAAATACCCTCAATTTGATTCATCATTACCTTTATTTAACCTATTGATCCACTAATGCCCCTATCATTTTTTCATGTCTCATATTTGATCAAATGAATGGATATTGGGTTATTATTATAAGTATAAATAGGAGAGTGTCATGTCATATGAATTTTACATCATGTTATTGTTTATTTTAGGGGCAAATATAAGCCAAGAAATAACGATCGTAGCATTAACGGATCAATAGATTAACTCAGGGCAATAGTGAACCTAATCAAATAGGTTATGGATAATTCAACCCTATCCACAAATACTAACATGAATTTATACACATACATAAAATTCATTCGAAACACAAATACTAAAAATCGAAGGTTGGTTATTACATTTTCATTATGAAACAAATATTAATTTGGAGTACGAAAAGAATGATTTATTTATTACAACAAGAAAATAATATTTAAATGTTTTTATCTATTGCCAAATGTCCATTCCCCGTAAATTCCACTAATGACTCGGTCACATTCACAACTCCATCCACAACTCCAAAAAAACAAAAAAAAAAAAAAACATAACCCGATAAATATTGCGAATTTCCTCAAACAACTTATCTTATTTAATTAAACTCGTACGTAATTAACATCTTAAACAAAATTACTTAATCATGATTAATTTAATCAAAGTTAGAGAAAAACAAAGGGAAGCTGCTGAAAATGCTGGATCAAAATCAACAATTAAAGAACAAACAGCCTCAGAATTACGTGTTCATAGAGATATTAGTGAATTAACTTTACCACCAATTTGTAAAATTGAATTTCCAAATGGAAAAGATGATCTTATGAATTTTGAAGTTGCAATTAAACCTGATGAAGGTTATTATCATGATGGTGAATTTCCATTTACATTTGAAATTCCAATACTTTATCCACATGATGCACCAAAAGTTAAGTGCAAAATCAAAGTTTATCATCCAAATATTGATTATGATGGAAATGTTTGTCTTAATATTCTTAGAGAAGATTGGAAACCTGTTTTGAATATTAATGCTGTTATTTATGGTTTGGTTCATTTGTTTACTGAACCTAATCATGAAGATCCACTTAATCCTGAAGCAGCTGATGAATTAAGAGATAATCCAAGATCGTTTGAATCCAACGTTAGGAGTGCTATGTGGGGAGAAAGTGTGCATGGCTTGACTTATGATCGTATCCTATAATGTGTTTTTAAATAATATTTTTATTGATATTTCAAGTACTAAAGTTTAGCTTATATAGTTTGGAATGTGTATTTATGTTTGCGTTTTATTATTTGAAATATAATTTGATAAGGAGTTTTTTTTGTTTGTATTCACTTTTTTTCAACTTAGCTTTAAATACTTTCTTTATTTTTTTGGGTTCTATATATCAATTGATTCTTACTCGAATGCCTAATGATGGTAGAGTGAAAGATAGATTTAAAGCTCGATTAGTGGTAAAATGATACAACAAATTGAACGAGTGGATTTAGAGGATACTTTTAATTCAATTGTTAATGCCACAACAACTCGTATTGTGCTATCATTTGTAACGGTTAAATAATGGTCTCTTTGTTAGTTAGATATAAAAAAATGCATTTTTGCATGTTGGAGGTCTCAAGTTTGAAATTCCTTGCTAGTGAAAGAAAGGGTTTGTCTTTTGGGTCGAGGTCGTCTCATCGGGCTTGCCTAGTGCGGGTTATCTCTCCTATGTGGTTTGCGAGCTATTGTTCCATGTGCGCACCGAAATGGTAGCGAATGCGGGGTTCCCTAAAAAAAAAAAAAACCAAATGGACGAAGAAAATTAGCTCCATTTGGACATCGCTAGAGGTTCTACACTAGAGTTGGATGTAATTATTTAGTGTTCTACTATATTTTGTATACGAGATATGTGTTTTAATAGACGTTTGAATGTTGTTTTTAGAAATTCAAAAAAAAAATGATGACTAAAAAGTCTATTTTTATTAAATTTTAGCTCCAAATAAATACAATGAAGCAAAAAACAATACAACTAAAAACTTGTTATGACTGAAAAATTACAGTTGTAAAAACTCTATTTTCTTAATTTTTTTAAAAATACTCCTAAGGAACATAAAACAAACAAAATCCCTAAAAATAAAATATTTAGCTGATTTTGTTATCAACTATCTCAAGATTGTAGCCTCAATCCTTAGGTGAGTTTTAGCACTTTTTGTTGAATTTGATACCATAGAGTTCCTTTACGACACCTAACCACTCACTCTCTTAACAACAATCATATGCAACTAATCGCTAGCACAATTTAAATATCTGAATAAAACGCTCACAAAGAAATAACATGTAAGGCAATGTTATTATGAGATACATGAAGCATCCAATTAAACGTTGATATACTCCTTCAGGATCTGTGACACTGTTGAGTTATCCTACATCGAATAAAAAGAGATATTGGATGGTCTCTTGAGTTAGCTTTTAAGGCTAAGTCAGACTCAAAATTCACTCTTTACATACACTGATATAATTACCTTCACAAGTCATAAAATACCAAATGAAACTACGATGAGTCCCATTTACACAAAATGAGTCCCTCAACTCAAAACGACCTAATAGATCATAGTAACATTTATGTTTTATAACTACAAAAAAAATACATGATTAAAGAACAAAGTATAATTATTTATGGAGGGTTAGTTGAGGATATGACAAAAAAAATAATTGTAATTAGTAGTAGCTGGCAAATTCAACCATTTCCCCAGCTTGAATCTCGTTCAATCCATAAGCACGTGCAATCCCATCCCCAACTGAGACAATTCGACCGATTTCATCCACTTGAAAATTCGTGTAGCTTTAATACATGGTTAAATATTAATTTCCACAAAATGCAAATTCCATTAATTCCTCTAATGACTCGGTCACATTTACAACTCCATCCACAACACCGATAAATAATGCGAATCTCCTCAACTTATTTTATTAATTAAACTTGTAATTGACATCGCGAATAATATAACATTATTACTTAACCATGATTAATTTGTTCAAAGTAAAAGAAAAACAAAAAGAAGCAGCTGAAAATGCAGGATCAAAAACACCAATTAAAGAACAATCAGCCTCAAAATTACGTGTTCATAGAGATATTAGTGAATTAACTTTACCACCAATTTGTAAAATTGAATTTCCAAATGGAAAAGATGATCTTATGAATTTTGAAGTTACAATTAAACCTGATGAAGGTTATTATCATGATGGTATATTTCCATTTACATTTCAAATTCCATTTCTTTATCCACATGATGCACCAAAAGTTAAGTGTAAAGTCAAAGTTTATCATCCAAATATTGATTTAGAAGGTAATGTTTGTCTTAATATTCTTAGAGAAGATTGGAAACCTATTTTGAATATTAATGCTGTGATTTATGGTTTAGTTCATTTGTTTACTGAACCTAATTATGAAGATCCACTTAATCATGAAGCAGCTGATGAATTAAGAGATAATCCAAAGATGTTTGATTCGAACGTTAGGAGGACTATGTGGGGAGGACATATGAATGATGTGTATTTTGATCACGTTTTATAACTTGAAATAGAGAATTTGAAGTTTGAAATAACACGAATTTTTAGATTAATTTTCTTTTTTCTCTTGTATTATGGTTAGTCATGCATGGTTAAATTGATGTCCTGCCCTTTTAAATCATACTTGTTTTATTTATTAATAAATCCAATAGTAAGTTCTTCATTTTCAGTATGTGCATTATGAGTTTTTAGATTTAAATTGTGTTTGATATACAGATCGAAAAATTACTGTCACCAAATTCTCTCCCATTTAATATATTTGAATATAAAAATATAAGATGAAATTAATAATATTAATGAATATCAAAATATGTAGAGAATATTTTGTTCTTACCAAATTTAGAGAATAGTTTTCCAAAATTAATTGATTTAATTATGATTATGATGCTTATCAATATAATATGATTTTGACATTTAAATTTTAAATAAGACACATATCTCTCATCTAGGGTGTTCATAATTATTGGTTAAAAAATCAAATTTAATCAACTTAAAAAAATCAATATTTGGTTTGGTTAGGTTTAATTGACACCAAACTCCCCACCATTTAATTTTAAATTTTAATTAACTTTCAAATCCATTGCTTAAATTTCAATCCAACTATTAAAACTCCAAGTATAAATTTATCAAAATTCATTACTTTTATCTCTACTTCACATCATATAGTCACACTTTCTATGATAATAACTTTGGTACCTCACATCACATTCACATTTTCTTTTAATTGAATCACATCACTTTTGTAATAATAATTTTTACCTCAGGTCATATAGTCACGCTTTCTTTGACACGATAAGTTAATAATAGAAGTCCAATTGTATATTTTTTTCATTTGATTTGATTTAGTTTGAGAAATCTAAAAATCAATTAAATTAATTTAATTTTAATTTTAACCAATAACCAAACTAAACTTAACCATGAACAACTCTAACTATATACATAGGTTTTTGCTATTATTTTTAGTATATATACAAGGGGTTTGATTCCTTGAATCAAAACTAGAGGCCAACTCAAGGTTTAAATGGTTCAAAATTAACTTCAAATCTTAGGTACTATTTACATTTTATTTTTCAAATTTAGTAAAAATCCTAAAATATAATAACTTTGGTGAAAAATCCTAAATTGTAACTTCCAATGCTTAGCCTCCCCTTTGTTTAAATCTTCAATTCGTTTTGTGATTAAATCGATAAGTGTCAAAAAATACTTTTAAATTATACGAAATTGAACCAAAATACATTTAATTAATAATTAGATCTAAAAATATTCATCCGATAACATAATTGAAGACAATTATTTAGACTAATTATGGATGTGAGTCTAAACCAGGCCGCCAAATCAGGAAGAAATCAGAGGTAGCAGACATGTCGACTCAATTAATTCAATTTCTGTACACATAACCATGCTTCCTTCATTCAAATTATCCAGAGCATCGGCTTAATTGTGCACAGATCATATCTATTTTAACGATATTCGTCGAAAAATTATACTGTATACATAAATTAAAAAAGAAGAAGAAGATGAATGTGAGTCTAAACCAGGCCACCAAATCATAGAGAAATCAGAGGTAGCAGACATGTCGACTCTAATAATTCAATTTCTGTACATATAACCATGCTACCTTCATTCTAATTATCCAGAGCATCGGCTTAATTATGCACAGATTTAAAATAAAATTAACACACAAGAAAATAAAATGGTAGTATTGAAGCTTGAAATTATTGCTCGGTAAATTATAAGAGATGAGGAGAATATATATATATATATATATATATAGGGAGCTGCTAGGGTTTAAGATTTTATGGTATGGATTGATGAAAAGCCCAATATTAGTTAGATGGGCTTTGTAATTTGTTGCTACTTGAAGCCCAGATTTTCTTTTTTGGATTAACTTTGAAGCCCAAATCAATGTTGAGGAATTGACCAAACATACAACTATTATATACAATTGGCAATAGAGCTGTCAATATGGGCTAGCCCACCCCATCCGGGCTAACCCATACAGGCTTTGACATTTTACGGGTCAGGCCAGGCTAGGCTAGCCCATTTTTTGTGTGGGCCAGAAAACGGTCGGCCCAACCCACAAGTACGTGGGCTACAGGCTTGCCGGGCCAGCCCACTTTTTAAAAAGTTATATATTTCTTTATAATTATTAAATTAAATTATAAATTATAATTTAAAAATATTATCATAAATATCGACAAAACAATATTACATGGTGTTAATGTTACTACTTGTTAATCAAATCCACAAATAAAATTATCTTTATAATATTTATTGAGTTTTTTTTCAAGTAAAAGTATAAATATCTAAATAAAAATATTAACTTAATTGTTTTGCAATGATCACAATAAAACACAAAAAATATGACAATATTCCAACCATAAAAAAGTAAAAAATAAACTCCTTAAAAAATCATGAAACTTATGGTGTATCTAACACTTCATGAAACCTATGGCGTATCTAACCCTTCATGATCATCTTCATTAAGCATATCTGAATCAACTTGTGGGAAGATTGTCTTAACATCTTCATTTTCATCTGCAATTTATATGTGGTTTCAATTAGTTAAATATTAAAAAATAACTAAATTGAGAATTATAATATTCAAATGTACACAAAAATATATTACCAGTTTGAGAAAAACTATGTAACCAGTTTTGAGTAGCAACAAGTGTTTGAACATTTTCATGGTGGATGCAACTTCTATACATAGTGATTTCCTAAAAAACTTTAAATAGATTTTGAGTTTGGATCTCTTTAATTTTAAATTTTAATATTATATTATATTTTTTAATTAATTTTTATTGGCCCACGGGCCGGCCCTACCTATATTTCTCAAGTCCCACAAATCAGCAGGCTTATTCAGGCCGGGCTAAAAAGCTTTTTTCTTAAATGGGCTCCAAAATTTTTAGCCAAGCCCTATTAAATCCCGGGTTAGGCCAGACCGGCCCAACAGGCCTAACCCATATTGACGACTCTAATTGGCAATATATAGCCCAATATTAATTAGCAATTAAGGGGTCGTTTGGTAGGAAGTATTAGGAAAAATAATTCATGTATTATGTATGGTACTATTTAGTACTACGTTTGGTAGGAATTTTGGTATATGAATTAGTTATACATCCTACATGGTATTATAGGATGTATTACTAATACATTCCACTTGGAGGTATTAGTAATACATAAGATATAATACCATGGGATAAGTTTATGTAAAAATAAAAATATCCCTCAAATAATTTTGATTATATATTTTTTTTTTATGTTTTATATTTGTACTAGTAAATTTATTTAAATAAATTAGTTTACAAATTATTTAGAGAAAGTTGTTTGTTACTAAATAAATTCAATACAAATCAATACAATATTTTGAAATGTGAGTTGTTTAACATTTACTAATTAAAAAGACAAATATAACACCACATGACATTTGTGATCTTAATTAAATGTATTATTTGTTGATATATATATATATATATATGCGCGCGTGCACGTGTGCCAAAGAAATAAGAGAAAAGGGTCGGAATTAACTTATTTTTAGATAATTCAAAGGAGAATCTTAGTAATTCCGAAAATATTTGAATTAACTTATTTTTAGATATTTTTTACTTTTAAGCATTTTTTAATTTTCTGAGACACATAAGCTTAAAAAGTAACAAAAAAAAAGGTACCTACTTTTGACTTTTGGCTTAAACTATTAAGTCACTTAAAAAAAAACTTATCCAAACACCCTCTTAGTTTGTTGACTAGTTAAACTTTCACTTTAACGGTAAGAATGTAATTTCACCATATAATCCTCTTACCGTTTTCCTTATATCCAATTTTTATTTTTTATTTTTTTAAAAGGAAAAGGTATCTCAGATTTGTTGCAAACACTATATTGTGTGGGTTTGCCATCTTGCAACTACTTTGTCCTTCATAGCCTATCTCTGCCCGCAACTATTGGAACAACATTAATTACGCCTCAATCTCCTACAAAAAGAAATTTTTAAGTAATCATCATTTTCATTTTTATCTTAATTCTTCTCTCAAATAATATCTAATACTAAAATGATTGCTCGTGTTAATAACGTAACAATCACTACAATATTGATAATCCTGAACTTTATAATATTAGTTCATGGTGCATCAAAAGTACCTTGCTATTTTATTTTTGGTGATTCATTACTTGATAATGGAAATAATAACAACCTAAATACAGAAGCAAAGGCTAATTATCCACCTTATGGCATCGATTTCCCCAATGGACCTACTGGACGATTCACAAATGGACGCAATATGGCTGATATTCTTGGTCATTTTCTATTTTTGATATTCCGATTAATTTACTTTGATTCTTGTAAGGTCGATTAAAGAGGGAAAGCTTTTTCTAGCAAGATTTTTGTCATTTTGTTGCTCGAACCCAATGCCTTTAGTTAAGAGTGGATGAGGTGTCATTTTGTTTTACATATAATATATTTATATGCTAATTTTTATTTTAAAAAATATAAAACAGAAAAAATAAGGTCTCTCGTCAAAATTGGTTTTGAGCCACTAATATTATTGAGTTGCCCTTGATATTAGTTAACACAACCAATTCATTCTTAACTATGACATTAAAAATACAGGGTACTATTCCTATTCTAATACATCTTATTTAGTACTATTCCCCTATTCATTTAATATAGCCAACAAAATTGTCAATAAAAAAATGATATCAGTATAACTAATTTCAACATACGAATATATCTTATTTAATACTATTTTACCAAATGACTACTAACTTATTTGCATGGACAAAGCTAAGGTACCCGAATGGATTCATTAAATCCCCTTATTTCATCGAAAAACTACACTACGTGTACCCTTGTATTTATGTGTGTGTTTTATATAAGTAGTAAATGTTGTCCTTGACTTTTTTTGTATGTTAAATTCTTTCTATTTCAAATTTCTTAAATGAAAATCCTGATTTCGTTATTGCTTATTTGTTATTAAATCTTTAAAAAAATAAAATATATTCACAGGGGAACTGCTAGGGTTTGATGACTACATTCCACCTTTTGCAAGCGCAATTGGTAGGGAGATCTTGCAAGGTGTAAATTATGCCTCTGGTTCGGCAGGAATTCGTAACGAGACGGGAAGTCATCTCGTAAGTTATATACAAACACATATCATGAATTTATTAAATTTAATATAAAAATTCAATGGCATAATTTTTTTCGGTTACTATCTAACTAATGATTTCAATAGCTTTTCAATCTTTAATATGTCCCCTATATGATCAAACTTTTTTCTAGTTAATCAATTACATTTAACCTACTATCTAATGAATGATGTTCGTTTACATGTGATAAGACTAAAGTTCAGGTAAAAATGATTATACAACCAACATTTTATCTTTTTATATTTATATAAACTTTAGTCAGATAAAAAACAATGTAGACAAGTCTAACAGATAGAGTTCAATAAATTATTTTACAGGGCAATCGGATATTTTTGGATTTGCAACTTCAAAACCATCACAACACAATTTTACGCATGGTTGATTTAGTGGGAAATAGAGTTGCAACCAATGCACACTTGAACACATGCTTGTATATTGTTGGAATAGGCAGCAATGACTACATCAACAACTACCTTGTGCCCAAACGTTACTCAACAAATAGTTTGTACACACCAAGTCAATATGCAACATTATTGGTACAACAATATGCTCAACAACTAAAGGTTCAACATTAACTTCTTTCACTACTTCAATTTTTCATTCTTAACTTGCAAATTAATTTAGAAAGTTTTCAAAGATTATTATAGTGTTAAAAGGGTATGTTGTTGTTGTTGTTTTAAGAACATTACATTGCTAAAAGAGTAAATTGTTACCTTTTTTTCTGAACTATGTGAAATGGAATATATTTGTCCTTCTTGGGGTTAAATATGTTCTTGTAGTTACTAGTTGGGGTCGAATTTGCCCCTGAACTATGCAAAATGGAATAGACTTATCTACCATTAATAGTTGTAGCCAAATTTGCCCCTGAACAATGCAAAATGGAATAGACTTATCTACCATTAATAGTTGTTGTCAAGTTTACCCCTAAACTATGCAAAATAGAACAAATTTGTCCTTTGATAATAGCTGGGGTCAATTATGTCTTTGTTGTTCTTAGTGGAGGTCAAACTTGCCCCCGAACTATGCGAAATGAATCAAGTTTGCCCTTGTTTTAAAGGTGAAAGCTTAGCACTAGGTGATGTCATGTATCACACAGTTAAGGATGATTTTTTTTTTAAAATGGAAGAAAAAGTTGAGACCTTTTACCTAGTTCAAGGGCAAATTTGGACACTTTTACCTACTTCATTTTGCATAGTTTAGAGACAAATACTAAACAAACTACTTCTAGATGTCTTTGAACTTTTGCTTTTGAATTATAGCACAATCATGATTTCCTATATACTGAATGATTAATTAGCATCGCCTATATGGCTATATATATACTATCTCTACAAGTAGGGATAAAGTTTATGTACATTTTATCCTATTCAGATCCAACTTGTGAAATTACACTACGTATGTTATTGTTGTTGTAATACGACTATATATTTGGTTTGATGCTAGACTTTATATGAAGATGGAGCAAGGAAAATAGCCCTATTTGGATTGCCCCAAATAGGTTGCATTCCACAAGAGTTACAAAAACACAATACAAGAAAGTGTGTGGATTCAACAAATGAGGCAATCCAACTATTCAATGAGAAGCTCAAGTCTCTTGTAACTGATCTGAATACCAACTTCCCACAAGCAAAATTCACCTATATAAACATGTATAGCATTTCATCAATTATGAGTACGTACATCAATCTAAAGTTTTATTTTTCTCCATTTAAAATGATGTTATAAGTGTATAGAAAATCTCGGAACCAACAATGTTGTTATAGAGACGTTTGACTATATAGAGAACGACTCTTTAATCTATAAATTCTATATATTTGTTTTGCAGGTACTCTTAGTTTCTTGAATTATCCATGCTGCAATGTTTCGACAACAACGGCTGAAGGACAATGTGTTTCTGGACAAGCTCCATGCCACCTTAGGGCAGCACATGTGTTTTGGGATAATTTTCATCCTACAGAGAATGGGAATGTAATTGCTATTATGAGAGCATACAATAGTTTTCTACCTTCAGATAGTTATCCTATGGATATTAGTCATTTGATTCAAAGTGGATAATAGCTGATCTGAAGTTTATTGTTAGGACAAATAGATTTATGGTTTAGTCCTAGTAGTCTATCGGAAATAGCTAGTCTCTCTAGTTTCTACGTTAACAAGATAGAGGTAAGGTTGTGTATACATCACCTCTCGTGGAATGGAATTGCACTGGGTATGTTGTGTTTTTAGATTCTTTTGAAGGTTGTAATGATCTGTATGTAAACGAGTTGTTCTCCAATTTTGGGCTACAACTAATGGAAAGTCCAAAATGGTATGTAAATGAGTTGTGGATATGACTACCTAAACTTTCACTGTATTGGTGAGGGTTCGTTTCTCACCTTGTAATCTTCTCCCCTCATTTCCCCATCACTGTGAGATTATTGGAGAGCTGCTTGCGGAAGAAATAAGTTCCTCTAGTTATTCATGGCTTTCCTAGCGTAAGAGGAAAGCTCGGAAGAGAAAATAACCCAATCTATTCATTTTGCTACGGGAAAGGGTTATGCCCGAATCAGAAGTCAGAGAGCTCTCTTCTCTTCAAGAGCAGCAGACAAATCAAACCCATACTGGTGTTTAAAAATTTGGGAGAGCAGAGATAAGACAAGGTGGTGAATGACGAAAAGGGAAGGCCCATCACGTCCTTTTGAGCGTGCAAGTTGTTGGCTAGGAGGACTGGTAAAAGAATGAAACTTCCATGGCCATGGTTAACAAACCAATTGAGGAAGAACAATCTTTCTCAGCATTATCAGTCCTCCCTAGTTCAGTAAGAACGAGAATTACGGAGAGATTACCAGCTCTGGAGAGATGAGAGCGGAAAACTCATCGGAATCCATGATTAGCTAAGCAGATGAGTTTCCAGAGATCAAAGAGCCAATTCAGTACTAAATCCCCATAGCAATTTTACGAGATCTAACAAAACTAGGCTACGATTTATTCTCTTAGTACAAGTCAAAGTACAGTTATGCACCTGAGCATTCAGAAACGGCAACTTCAAACGTCCATTACTTCCCACATTAATTTACAACTATCTATTCTGCGTTCTGCACCTATCTCAAAACAACAGCTGCATTTCTGAGAGCCAAGTACCTCTGAACATAGTCATTAGGGAGAGACCTTATTGCCTTGAAAACCTCAGTATTAGCATAACGGAGTTTAGTTCTTGGGTCAAAATATGGTGCCTGCATGTCAAACATAAAAGACATTGGTGGGAATGCACAATAAAGAATCAGAAAGCAAGCAGACACTTAGACCATATAATCGTAGAAGGCACTCAGTTGAAAAGGTACCTCGAATCCTGTTATGTCGCATATCTTTTTGCCTGGATGCATAGAAGGTGGCGTTTCAATGTTAACATCTGCGGAGAAAGAGCAAACAAAGTCAAAACCTTGAAATATTCCTCAAGCTACGAATTATAGAAAGGAATATATGCAAAATAATGCCTCTAAACTGGGAAACAAATACTCTGTTGGTCCTGAAAACATAATTTGAACGAACAAGTTGTCCAGTGATTGATGATAACCGTGCAGCATATAAACAAGAAGGATATCATTTCCCCGTCTACAATTCAATTCAAAATATAATGGTCTGCAATCACCTTCTAGCTAATAGTCAAATGTCTGGGGGTTCGGAGACTGTTAGCAAATGTTCTGTGATGTTGCTGGAAAATGCAGCAATTTTCAAGGCGATTTTCATCAGGCTTGACAACAATAGTGCAATGCCGAAAATGCATCTAGATTACACAACCTAATTACTAATAGATCTTAGCAAACACATAATGCTATCCCAACCATTAGCAACCACAAAATTGCCAGAGCACTAAAAGTAATAGCAATATCTGATCTGCCTGAAAGAGTTCTTCAAGCAAATTGGGTAAGAGCTATTACTACATGGTCAGGGGAACGTGGTTGCAATGGGAAATAAAAACTGATGACATGATTTGCAGCTCAATGTGTCCTAAGAAAGAAAATAAACCAACGCTCCGCATTGAACTGAAAGTTCTTCAACTCCTAGGTCTCACAAAAGTTGAAGTGTATTGAGTCAAGGAAATGACACAATCAATTTATTTTTTTTAAAAGTAGTATCAATGATGGGTTTAGTAATTTGATTGTCATGATCTAAAAAGTACAAAATTGAACTCAATCTTTATCAAGTTACGCAACAAGAATTCAATAAATTGTTTGGGCATTTCAGAATGGATATTAGATGTTATAATCAAAAGCAGTTTTACCTACATCTATTTTTTGTCAATATGCTCATTGGGTATGTTAAACCACAATTTTCAACCAAGTCAGCAGATCAAACTCAGTAGCAAACCAAAACCACTCGACAGAGGTTTGGCTACCCATCAATTTTCTCTTAAGGCAAAGAGAAATATTTGCATACAAACAGAATCAATATTCAGCAACTGAACTAAACTGAATAAATATACCTACATTTTATATTCTCATATAAAAAAATAAACTTATATTGCCGAAACCCAGAATGCAGCTCCATTCTTCATTACAGGCAAACAAATTGAAGTGCTAGACACATGATTCAAGATCAAAGTACTATGTATCTTAGTCTGCTTATGCCACTGATCTCATAATGCCCACAGAAAATTAAAAACAATAAAGGTTGATAACGGGAAATGAAAATGTAGCAATGCTATAGTTTTTTTCGAAATTAAATATTTTTTTTGAAATTATGTAGCAATGCTATAGTTATGCTAAACATAACATGTTTGCATGAGTTCATCTGACATTTCCTTCTCCATCGACCACAATCAATCATCAATGGAGAAAGTTTAGGTTATATTTCTTAATATTGAGAGAAAATGGGCATGAGTGCAGTTCAATCTTGTGGTGTATACGTTTGTAGTGAGTTGGACAATCACTCATTTCTTTTGTATTCGGAGCGAGAACCTATCTAATGGATAGGATAGAGGTCTTCTAAACCTTTGGTAACTGTATAGGTTCAAATCGTATTGGACACAATCTATTTCCATATATATCTTTTTTCAGATTTCGATAGCAAGAAAGAGGAACAGCAGTTGCGGTCCATAAGAGAGGAAGGAGGCCCTCCTCCAGGAAAGAAGGAAACTAATTCTATTGAGAGAGTAGCAAAAGAACTCTACTAGCCTAGAGAGGCCTGGAGCCATAGAAAAAACACCTATTTCTGTACCGGTTACGGAAGAGCGAAAAGGGGGTCAGATTTATGCCGATGGCAGCAAGAGTAAGTCACAAAGCTTGTATTGCTCTACCACAACCTGTTTCACGGTTTAGGCAGCTCCCATTTCGCCTACCACTGAAAAAAAAACGAGAAAATGATCAAATCGTCCTTAATGTATAGGGTTGGACTAGTTTGGTCACCACGTATTTTTGCATCTCCCAGCCTCATTGTCATTAAAAACTGTTCACCTAAAAAACAGCCTACACCAGCGATCTCATGCGATCACCATCACTGCCGCAAGACAACACTATTCACCACCAGCATCGAGGATTCATTTTTATTTCTTCTCACAGACCAGAGAACTCTCATATCTCTGCACCGACAGTCACCTATAAACCTCATTCTACCTACCTTTCCATTTCACTTATACATACAAGTTGTGCAGCCTATCATGGCTTTAAAGCCAAAAAAGGAAGAATAACAGTTGAAAGAGGAAAGGAAAAAAGAATTCTAGAGCCTCAGCCGGGAAACAACCAATGGAGATATAATATGTTGTTGAACTTTCCTTTCCTATTTTCTTTTTTCTGCTTCTCCTGGTAGAGATCCCCATTTGCCCAAATGTGGGTGTGATGTTCTGTGTTCATAGTATCCCAAAAGAACAGCATTTATAGGTTAGAGCTTGCAGGAAATGCAATCAAGTAAATCTTATTCTCTTGCCTAGCCATGTGTCGAGCAAGATTTATATGGAGGACAAGATGCGAAAAGTGAGACTAACATGGTTCATGCATGTGAAGAGGAGATGCATGGACACCCCAGTATGAGGTGTGAGAGGTTGGTTATGGATGGTTTCGGATAGGTAGTTGTAGGCTGAAGAAGTATTGGGAGAGGTAATTAAACAAGACATGATGCAACTTCAGCTTATCGAGGGCAGGACCATATATAGGAGGCGATGGAGGATACAAATTAGGGATAGAGGGTGAGTTATAAAGTTGAGTGTTGTCTTAATCACCCTTCATACTAGCAGACAGTAGCCGTATATTACTCTTGTAGTTTCTTATTATTTCATTTCTGTTACTATTTAATGTTTTTTGTACTTCGATTATCGTATTATTTTATTGTAGGTACTTTTCCATATGCTCTATCATGCTTTCTTTAGTATATTGTCTTGATTGCTTCATTCTCGTTGTTTTTTTTTTTCAAACTGCTTCATAATGCTTTTATTTGAGCTAGGAGTCTATCAGAAACAAACTCTCTACCTCCAAAAGCAGGGTTAAGGTCTGCATATATACTACCCTCCCTAGACCCCACTTGTGGGATTACCACAGCTATGTTGTTGTTGTTGTTGGGTTGTTCTGAGCTTTTGTGTTTATGGCAGCCACCAGAGGTACACTTGAAACACATCCCCATTACATTTACTCATGGTTTTGACTCTATTATTCATTCAGCATAAGCTAAACCTAATGACAGAGTCCTTAATCGACTAGCTAGCGAACTCACTCGACGGGCGTTGTCATTGGGAAGCTGAGAGTGGAGCTCATGAGTAGATTATGGACTATTTCAGTTAAGAATCATACATTTAATGCAAACAAGGACCATTTCCATCATTTTTTTGAAAAAAAAGACTCCAATACAACAGCAGGATGAATTAAGAAACTGGCAATATAAATCAATAAAATCAACTAATTCAACAATGAGGTATAAATTCAGAAAAATTGTTGTAAAAAGCTTAATTGGAAGATCGAAACTCACAAGTAGGTAGTTGAGGAGGATAATTTTCGTAATTTTCTGCTTGTATAATCTGCTTGAGATGCTTCCAGTGCCGTCCTCTAGCTTGTCCTTTAGGGTACTTGTCGTACATCTGAATCTTCTTAAATTTCATGTGAGTTGGAAGTACTAGTTCTGCTTCTAACACTTCTCGCTCCATTAATTCAGTTCCGACCTCCGATTGGTGACGGCGATTTACGGTGGTGAAGTTCCTGCCGATGATTCTCCGACGGGGAAATAAAGGGGTGCCAGATGAGGGGAATTAAAGCGGGTTTTACTTATTGGGCTTGGATCTTAACCCGTAATGATGTCTATGGGTTATGATCTTTTCTTTTTTTCCTTTTTAGTCCCTTACAATTAAACAATCATTATCTTACATTCTAACTTATAATTAGTGTAAGCGATCGTATTCAAATATAATAGAGTAAATTTTAGGTTTAGCAAACATAAAAATCATATTTGTATGTTATAGTTATAGTTGTATAATTGCGCTCCATATCAAACTTTATGTTTGCTATAACTATTAATATGTATATTTCGGTATACATATACAAAAGAATCAGTTGTATAATCTGTTTCGGTATATATATACAAAAGAATCAATTGTATAATTTGTATTTGTATAAAGCGAGAAAAAGAGAAAGACAAAAGAAAATTGGGCAGTGAAAAATTTGTATTTATATAACTATAAGTGTATAGGACGAAAATATATGTATTTATATTTGTATATACAATTTTCTCTCGCTTTATGCAAACACAAACGCAAATTATACATTTGTGTTTGTATAAAGTGAGAGAGGCGAGTGAGAGTGGCGAGCGAGATTCTCTGGGGAGAGAGGCAAACGAAAAAGATATGTATATATACAGTTTTCTCTCACTTTATACAAATACAAACACATTTTATACATTTGTGTTTGTATAAAAGTGAGAGAGACGAGGGAGAGACTGCCAGCGAGAAAACGAGAGTGGCGAGCGACAATTTCAGGGAGAGAGGCGAATGGCAACAGTTTGCTACGGGTTACAATTAAATCAAATTGTGGTTATAACATTTAATTTGAATTAATATTTTGCTATTTTACACAAAATTCAAACATGTGGGCGGAAAATGCTATCCTACTTTATTGTTACGTAGCAATAGAAGCCTGCTTATGCTGCTTCGGCGGTGCTTTTTCCGCCCTCTCTTCACTCTGGACAAGAGCGCTAGTGGACACGGGGAGGAAGCAGGCAAAGCGTGTCGTTCGTAAAAGTATGTGATGATTGGTTTACTTTAGGTTTTATTAGATCTTATTCTGTAAAAGTATAATAAATTGGGATTATATTTGGTGCAATATTAACTTAAGATTTAAATGATGTTTTTCTAATGGATATAAAGATTATAATTGTTTCTGTGGCTGATAATTAGTGACACTCGAATAACCAAAATAGCTAATGAAGTCATTTTCAAAATTTTTGTATAAAAAAAAAAGTTATACATACATATACATTTATACTATTAAGAATTTCAACAACAAACATAACGTATATTTATACAAATTCTAGCAACTTTAGTTCTTCACATATATACATATTCCAATTACATACTCATAGAAACGTTTATATACACATTCTACATATACATTTATATATAAACAATTATATACACACATTATAACCTTATACACAATTTTCCACTCTTCTTCCATTTCTTCCAAACTACTCCGCTATTGGCTCAAAAATATCCTTTTCCACCTCTGCAATCTCCGTCTCCTTCAATTTCAACTCGAGCAAATCCACCTCTCTAACCAGTTTCATCACTTTCAGGTACTTCAAAATTCACAGATCTAGTTTTTTTTTAGACAGTTTTGGATAGCTAATTCCATGATTTTGAGTGAGTTGATTCTGAGCTACTAAATTTATTACTGTATGTGCAATTTTTTAACTATTAGTTTTATATGTACAGTATTATGTGATGAGCTGTAGGAAGAATTTGTATATGGATATCAACTCGAATGTATGGTTTATTTGAGGAATGAAGCAGATCTAGGTTTTTATTTGGTTATTAGCAATTATTTAGTTTTTGGATAACGTCTTAGTTGCTAATTCGGGATTTAGAGTCGGTGGATTAGGAGCTAGTTAAGTTAATTGTATGTGCAGTTTTTTTGTATTAATGTTTACATATACAAAATTGTGTGATGAGCTGAAGGAAGTAGTATATGTTTATCCACTCGAATTAGGCGGATCTAGCTTCTTTGAATTTTTTTGAATAGGTCTGGATAGCTAATTCCAGGATTTAGAGTGAGTTGATTCTGAGCTACTAAATTTTACTATATGTGCAATTTTTAGTAGTAGTTTTACATATACAGTATTGTGTTATGAGCTGAAGGCAGAATTTGTATATGGATGTCCACTTGAATGTATGGTTTTATTTATGGAATGAAGCAGATCTAGGTTTTTTGGCTATTAGCAATTAATTAGTTTTAGCTGCAAATTCGGGATTTACAGTCGGTGGATTAAGAGCTAGTTAAGCTAATTGTATGTGCAATTTTTTAAAACTAATTTTTACATATACAAAATTGTTTGATGAGCTGAAGGAAGTATTTGTATATATCTATCCACTTGAATTAGGCAGATCTAGCTTCTTCTTTTCTTTTGTTTTTTTGAATTTTTTAAACAGTTTTGGATATCTAATTCCAGGATTTAGAGTGAGTTGATTCTGAGCTACTAAGTTTTACTATATGTGCAATTTTTTTAACATTAGTTTTACATGTACAATTTTGTGTCATGAGCTGAAGGCAGAATTTGTATATGGATTTCCACTAGCATGTATGATTTTATTTAAGAAATTGAAGCAAATCTATGTTGTTTTTTGCTATTAACAATTGATTAGTTTTTGGATACGTCTTAGTGGCTAATTCGGGATGTAGAGTCAGTGGATTAAGAGCTAGTAAAGTTAATTGTTTGTGCAATTTTATAATATTAATATTTACATATACAAAATTGTGTTATGAGCTGAAGGAAGTATTGTATATATATCTATCCACTTGAATTAGGCAGATCTTGCTTCTTTATTTTTTTTTTGTTCAATTTTTTAAACAGTTTTTGATAGCTAATTCCATGATTTAGTGAGTTGATTCTGAGCTACTAAATTTTACTATATGTGCAATTTTTTAACATTCTTTGTACAATTTTGTGTCACGACCTGAAGGCAGTATTTCTATATGTTCCACTCGATTACTTTTCTAGATTACAAATTAACTATACAAATGATAAGTGTTAAACTCTATTTCGAACAAAATATACACCTCTCAATATACATTCAACTTAAATTGATGATAGTTAAAAAGGAAATCTGATTTTGAATACATGTTGAACACCATCTTCGACCTAAAAAAGCAAAATCAGAGTATGTTTTCGTCATGAAATTACCTCCTATTGCTATCTCTACAGTCTAATGATCTCGATTGTTTGTGTAGTACCATCAATTGCTTGATCAATTTTTTGAATTGAGTTACAATGGAGTTCTTACTGTTGAAGACGATGAAGAAGGAAGGGAATTCAAATGGAACAGAACATGCGTGACTTCAGTGATTCTTTTCCTTTTTTTTCTAACCGAAATTAACGCCCTTTTCTTTCTTAAACTATCAAAATGTATAAAAAAAAAAAAATGACAAGCGAATATACAGAAAGACAAGTCCATAGCAAACTATAATTTTGCTACGGACTGTAATTTTACAAAGTTTGCTATAGCATACAATTAGCAATTTTTTATTTGCTATATGTAAAATTTTCTCAAAAAAGTATGTGGTTAACGGGTCAAGTTTAGGTTTGAATGCAATCGGCCCACCGACCTTCTACTGACGCATGCCAAGACGTAAGCCCATATAAGGCGGCCCCAATCAATTCATTCACCTATTAAAGAACGTTAAATTAGGGTTTTCTTATAATTTCGTCTTTCTCAGGCTGCCGCCGAACAATTCCACACACAGAATTAGCGATGGGGCGAAGTAAGTTTATTTTCTCCCAATTTTACGTTAATTACTCATATCTTTTCGGTTTTAGCTTATTACTGTTCTTAATTTTTCTAAAAAAACTTGTTAAGATCTAGCTGTTTGTTCATGGCTTCTGTGTTGTTTTACCAATTTTTGCTGAAATGATACATCTGATTTGTGGCCTTTTGCCTTGTGTGATTCGGTACGTAAGTAGATGTAGAGAACTCTGTTTATTGTTAAGACTAGTTATTGCTGAGCGATTCCAAAGGCTGCAAATGGAGGAGAATGGATATTAGGATTTTTTTTTTAAAAAAAGGTTGTGGGAGAGTATCACAACGTGCGGAGTCGAACTCTGACCAATTAAGTTGTTGAAAGTTCAGGTAGGTAGTCAACTAGCTGAATTACTAAGATTCCCCAATATTAGTATTCATATAGAGATTAATTCAGTAGTTGAAGGTTCAGCTAGTCAACTAGCTGAATTAATAAGATTCCCCAATACTAGTATTCATATAGAGATTAAAGATATTAAGACTAGCTGAATTAATAAGATTCCCCAATACTAGTATTCATATAGAGATTAAAGATATTAAGAGTACCTAGTTGAAGTATTTGAGTATATAAGTAATGGAGTTTTATAATGTTGCTACATGAGTTCCTGTCTTTTGAGACCAATCGCTCGACTCTCTAGTCCTACAAGTGATAAAATTCGGTAGTTTATTCAAGATTATAAAATATGTGGGAGTTGCATGTCGTTTCTACAATTCGTGTCTTTTGATACCAATCACTTTATCTCTAGTTCTACGTGTGATATAATTGGTTGCTTAAAGATGGAATTTTTGCCCTTCAGTTTTATGATGTTGCTACAGATGTATCTTTTTAGGCCAATTATTGATCTCTGGTCCTAGAAATGATAAATTGGTAGTAAGATAGAAAATTTGCCCTCTTTTCCTCACTGTTTCTTGCCTTTCTCTAATTATTCAAATACATATCTACTGTGAGAAAACAATAACATGTTAGATAGCGTTTAAATATATCTAATTAAACTGACCAAATAAATACATAGCAACTATTATTGTAAACAATAACTTTAGCAAAAATATGAAATTCTTTCTACCTAATTATTAATCTATAAAAAAAAAGGGTGTAAGAAATTGCTCGGTATCAGCTGCTAGAAATAATAGCTACACCGTATGTTTAACGAAGTTGCTTTGATTTAATTTTACTACTTCTTGTAATTATCAAATTGTAGGGTAGCCAATCATCTTATCAAATATCAACCGGAAAAGACATTTTAAGTGACTAATGGATGGCTCTAGTAGTATTGCATACTACTTTCTCTCTTTGAACACACAACTCTAATTTTTTTTCATGCAGCTCCATCACTTAATCCTAAACTAGCTGTACTCAGCTATATAAATCCTTTATATTTATTCTGCTCTATTCTCGCCATTTCATTCCAATACTTAGTAATTTGACTTCTTGGACAACTCCAAGGAAAACGAAATTTCCCGTGAAAAAACTAGAGGCTTTATCAGAACCACATTAGATACAAGTATGGGAGACAAGATTAACAACTAAATTCTACCCACCAGAAAATACAAATGTTGGCATCACAGAGTAAATTAAACATGTTTGATTGATCCCATTAAATCCAATACCAATTTTTTACACTTCAATGACAAATTAGTTTATTAATCCTGTATCTACTCTGCCTCAATTCAGGTGAAAATCATTCCAGTATTAAATAACTGATCTTTTTTAAGACAAATTAGATTTCTTCTCAATATTTTATTTTTAATACATGTGGTGTCCTGACCAGCTTGCACGCACCTCCGCTACCTCCTACCAGCCAGCAATGAATGGGAAGAAATCACCTAGTGTTTTTGTATCTGTTAGGAACTTAACCCGAGACCTCACTTCAACCACTAGAACACACCCTTGGCTGCTTTTTTCTCTTCTTTTTTTCAATGACAGTGGCGCCCATGCCAGCTTACACACCTCAGCTATTCCACCTCATACCTGATATCTCCCACCAACCCAATTACCAGATAACTCTGCCCCCCTCGATGAGTTTACTATCGAAATTTGCACGGATATAAACGTAATTTAATCAGATAATTGGCACTTGACAACCCCCAAACATATGCCCTAACAACAATGAAACTCAAAATTGACCACGAGAGATCAAAATCCAAATCCAAATCCCAAAACAACAAAAACTTTAGGTGATCTCCTTCAATCTATTCATTAAATTAGTCGCGGTACACGACAAGTAGGCCAAACACTATCTAAAAAAGGGCAATTGACAAAAATAAAACCAAACCCGCTAACGAAAAGATCGAAATACAGAGAGATTATGCAAACCTGACGGCTGTGGCGGTCCGTTTTCCATCAAATGGATAGAGGAGGAAGAAGAAGAGCCGCCGTCGATGACCGCTACGATGGAGAGAGAAAGTAGAGAGAGAAAGAAAAGAGAAATTTGATAAGGGGAAAAAATTAAGCCTAGAAATTTATTAAAAAGCGATTTTATCTTTTCTTAGAAAGTACCAAGAAAATTCAGTTGACGTAGTAATTGACCATACAACCCTTCTAACCAATAATGACTCGGTGCTGTATGTGGATTAGTCGGTGCGGGGGGCTGATCTCTTAACCGGAATGTGTGTTTTGTTTCTAAAAAAAATTGTGATTCCTTCGTATATCTCCGACCCCACTTTATTTTATTCTTCATTCTCTATATTTTGATATTTCTTTACTCTCAATTTATGTGACTTACTTTTTAGTTAGTTCTAAAAAGAATGACACATTTCTATATTAAGTAACAATTTAACTATAATATACCTATTTTATCTTTAATGAAATGATTTACCATCACACAAATTTCTATCATTCATTTTGGACCACAAGGTTTAAAAGTCTTATTTTCTTTCTTAAACTTCGTATCGAGTCAAACTACCTCACATAAAATGAGACGGAGGGAGTAGTAAAATAGAAAATTGAGTCTTCGGTCACCTTCTAAAAAGCTCTTTATTCTCCATTTATAGAAAAGTGAATAGTAGTTCTCCAAATTCATCCTCTCTATTTCACTTTTTCATTAATATAATATTTTTTCTATTATTTCTAACTAGCATATTATTTTTCATATAAGACTATTAATTAAATTTCTAATATTCATAATTCTTTTTAAATGTAATACAATATTTTTAAAAAATATATTATTTAATATATACTACTTTCATTCCGAATTAGCAATATTTCAATTACTTTGTTTTTCAATTTTCGTCACTTTAAGAGATAATTTGATAGTATTATTGATTTTCACTATGAATAATGCACAAAATTTAAATGATAAGATGAAAATTTCAATTTAAAAATACAATACATGACATAATAATTTAAATACAAGATAACAATACAATACATAACATAATAATTTTAAAAATTACGACAATAATTTAGTAATTCGGTAGGTCGTTTTCAGATTTAACAATATTCGAAAAAATAGTGTACAATCTAGAGAATTATTGTGCTTGTGATTGCGGTTGTACTTGTTGATTTCTTTTTTTCAATTATTTGTAGTTGTTCTTTAAGATTTTATATTAAATTTTGTCAAAAAAAATAATTTTATATTAAATAATTCTTTGAAAAGTAATAATTTTATATTACATGAAAATTATATAGAGTGATTATTTTGAAAAAGAAAAAAGAGCGGATTTATATTATGAAATAAGAAAATGAAATAGAAATATAAATAATAATACAATATTGAGGAGAGAAAAAAAATATTCTTTTTTAGAGAGTAAAATAGAGAACCGGATTGGAGTTGATTGTCTGTAAAAAATAAAGAACTCTAAGGTTGGAGAGTAAAAATAGAGTTTAGGGTTGGAGATGTCCTTATTTGGGCAAATATATTCATAGACCATAGTGACTAGGATAGATATTTCGTATTCCAAAAATTAGCAGTGTGACTTGTCGATTTTCTAGGATTCAAAAAACTTACTACTTCTAAACTATTTGTGTTAATTGATTTGAAATGATAAATTGTTGTATTCACAGAAACAATTTACTCTCGACCAACTCATTTTTTCTACTTTTTACTTTCTTTCGAGTATTATTGACTTGACATTTATTTCCACGGCAGGTAGTAGCCCACCTCCAAAACCCTGGGAACGAGCTGGTTCTTCTTCAAGCCCTGCACCTTTTAAGCCCCCCTCTGCTGGTAGCACGAGTGACGTAGTAGAGGCATCTGGAACAGCCAGGCCTGGTGAGATTGTTTCAACTGCTAATAGGAATACAGCTGTTAATAATAGCACACTTGCAAGGCCTGTACCTACTCGACCTTGGGAGCAGCAGCAAACTTACGGTAGCTCATACGGAGGTATGAGATGTTTAGTTAATTTTCCCTCTTGCTCTTTTTTGTGCCTGTTCTGTTTTTCCAGCAAGAGGGTTGGCTGTCTGAAATCCATTATTACAAACATGTCTGTTGATGCCTTTTTCACTAGCACAGCTGTTTTGTGGTTTGTAAATAACTATTTGTATTCTTTTACATCCTTAAGGTTCACTCTTGATATTATAAATACTAGCAACCTTGCATTAAAAGCCTCTTTTGGTTAGTATAACAACTAATTTATCCTTAAGGTCCACTTGTTTGTTCTGAATGTTTGTCCCCTAGCATCAAAAGGTTGATTATTGAGTGATGTGTATTATGATATCTGCTTTTTGGAGTGCATGCATATGATTTTTCAGGATTATAATGCAATACATGATATGTAATCATGCACGCCATCATTAACTAGGCAAGTTCTTCCTAAATATATTCCGATTTTATCATACTGTTTGATTCTCTTTCATACATTATAAGTATGCCCAGTGCCCTTTTTTAAAATTCTTTTAAAAAAAAGAATTACTAGGTTGTCTAAGTTTGTACTCCAGCTATACATTCCTCTTTTGGAACTCATCTTAGTTAATGCACCTATTAAATCGACTTAACCTCCGATTGAATGTTTCATTGAACTGTTATGCGATCTGCTAGTCAGTATACCTTCTCTTCTTATGTGTCCATTCGTAGGAATCAAGCGCTACTTGATTTTAATTCATTTGCAACCCAATTCCTACTTTATTTATACTTTGTCCTCTGTAAGTATGAATGGCATCTGTGTGTTTACCGAGCCAAATCAAAATGTTGTTATGGACATACTCTTTTCATTTCCTCTTATGGTGAAGAAACTTTCTCAATCATTGAAAGTTTTGATCCAGTAATTGAAGTTAGTTATTGCAATTGAAGTCCTTTTTTATAGAGTACCCAATCTCATTATTTGCTTGATTGGGTCATTATGCAGGTATTAATACAGGTATGAATTATAATTCTGGATATGGAACTGGAACATATGGTTCTTATGGTGGTGGCTATGGAAGCGGAAGCACATACGGAAGTGGTTTGTATGGAAACAGTATGTACAGAGGAGGTTATGGTGGACTTGCAGGCGGTGGCATGTATGGTGGAGGAATGTACAATAGTGGGTATGGTGGCTCAATGGGAGGTTATGGCATGGGCGGTATGGGTGGTATGGGCGGCATGGGCATGGGACCCTATGGGGACCAAGATCCAAATAATCCATATGGTGCTCCACCTTCTCCACCAGGCTTTTGGGTCTCCTTCATGCATGTGGTAAGCTCTAACAGTTCCAAATAAATTTATTTCTGTTCTATACTTATATTCGGGGACCCTAAAGTGAATTTGATGTGTACAAGTCCCTCATTTGCCCTGCACTTCCAGTACAAACTGTGCTGGCCTTCTTTTTGAATTTTTGTTTTTGGATTGGTCAACAGTCTAAAATTAGCTCCAAGTGAATTGGTAATAGAGCAAGGCCTCCAAAATACGGAGAGAGAGAATCACATGGGAAAGGGGAGAAATGTAAGGAGATTTATTGTGAAATCTCAAAAGCTTCTTGCAGCTCACTGGTTTCTGTGATGAGATACTTTTAGTTTATGAAAAAAAGAATTATAGGTAGATCCCAATGTTTTTGATAATAACATCCTCCCTAAGTTTTACTTGATATGAAAAATAGATCCTCCCAAAGCTTTTATAAATTGTGATATCTCTCTTTTTTGACGCTAATGGTTTTCTAGCCTGCAATTAGTAGGTTTGTCGATACGTATCTAAGAACTTGCAGGCCTCTTTGAATCAACAAAAAGTTCAAGGAGATGCAAATGAAATTAATAATTATTTACGTTTCGTATTTTAGGTTCTGGTGTGAGGAGAGAGAGGGCTGTCCTTCGAGTACCACCTGATGCTTTTGAAACTGCTAGTTACATATGGTATTTTAGTCTATACTCTATAGACATCATTAATGCCTTCTGTCCATTGATAATTAATTGTTTTATATTATGTTACTTAATGGTGGCAGATGCAAGGCGTTGTAACTTTCTTTGGCCGCGTTGCAATGTTGATAGACCAGAATACCCAGGCATTTCACATGTTCATGTCGGCACTCCTTCAGGTATATGTTCACTTATTTATCCCTTGCATCCAAATAGTTCTTGAACAACCAATACCTCCTTAACTACCTTATGGAGTTCTGTATTTGCTACCCAAATACTCTGTGGAAAAGTATATAGGATGGTGACATGATAATTCATTAACATATTTTTTACAGCTGTTTGATCGCTCAGGGTTATTATATGGAGAGCTGGCAAGATTTGTGCTGAGATTGCTGGGGGTCAAAACAAAGGCCAATAAAATTCATCCCCCAGGCGCTAATGCACCTCATGGCCCTAATGCACTTCCTGGTCCTCACCAACCTCGTGGTAATCAGAACTTTATCGAGGGGCCTAAGGCTGCTCCAGGTGCTGCATGGAACGATGTGTGGGGTGATAATGCACAGTGATATAGAGTAGTGACTTACAAATGTCACCTACCATCGGAAGCCGTTGACAACAAGTTGCAGTTTGTTGAAAGCTACAGTATATATAAGAGCTATGCTGGTGTACTCGTATGTAAAGCCAATCAGCTTACCGTGCTGGATTGATTTGCTGCATTTAAATGAATAATAATCTCGACTCCCCCCCCCACCCCACCCCACCCCCTTCCCCTGCCATATTTGTGTGGGATTGTAGGTTGTTATAGATCAATGTGCACGTCAGTTTTGGAGACTGAACAAAATCGTTCTAGAAATGATGTGGTATGATTTCCATTGATTGGCGATAAGATGTTTCATTGTTACATCATTTGTGTAAATTCACCAAATGCGAAGTTCTCAATTTATTTGACGAATATCTTATTTGTTATACGTAGACCTTCATGCAGCAGCTCTGACAATTTTTTTTTACATGGGATGCACAATACTCAAACGCAGAGTAGAATTCTTTCATGTTAGAGTAGTAGAAAGATAAAACGGATCTAAATTGAATAATAGAGGGGTAACAATGGACTCAAATATGGGAAGAGGAAAAATTTCACATGAAAAAGTAGTTCACCTTTTTTCCACCTTGTACATTAGTCAGTAGAGAAGTGTTATTTTGGACCTTCAAGTAATATGAGGAGTTTTTTTGACCCGGTAGTAAAATGGAGGACAGCATTGAGCTTTACCTAACAGGCAAATTTGACCTTTTCTTTCATTTATGTATTTAGTATTAGTACTCTCTTTGTTCCGTATTAGTTGATCACTTTCATTTTGCACATTACTTAAGAAATCATAAATAAGAAGATAATTATACTAATTATAACGTTCCCTACTATTCTTCTATACCAATCCTTCCATTTATCATGCATCAAACAATTGTTCTGCATTGTGGCAACATGCCACATGAAGAGCTACACCTCTGAGTGTGGGTTCTGCAATTTACACCAAGCAACTGTTTCATTTGTATGTACATGCATTTATTAGAATCACTTTTTTTCTTATGGGAAGAAAACATTACAAGAAATTATACGCAGCTTGATACTAGTGTGCAGTGGGCACAACTGTCGTGCATTTCCATCAAGTTGGACAGGAAACAATGTTTCTAGTGGTGGACGGGTGAGTAACACGTCAGTTCCAGGGAATCCGAATTGGATTGACTGGGATGATAGTTTTTCCTCACGAGTCTGTAAAATCAGAATGTCTGCTGAGACCTGACAGCTTAAGAACTGAAGATTATCGCCACCTATTAAAACCTGAAGGCTCCATGAGGGCAAATACACATTATTTCTTCTTCTTTGATCTCTACATTACCTCTTGCAAGTTTAAAAATCTCCAACGCTACACCACTGATCTGAGAACTTCTGGTGACGTAAAGAATTGAGAGACGTTTGCATCCGGTTCTCAATGCCTGCAGTCCACGGTCACAAAGATTTCTACACCGATTCACATGTAGTGTTTTCAAGTTATGACAATGTGATGCGATAGATTCCCAACCTGCTATCTTGACCTCATGACATATTGCTAAGTTCCATTCCTGAAGTGACGGACAACCCTTTGCTATTGTCATGATACAATCATCGCCAATCGTTCTGCTGGAACGGAAATTCAACACTCTTAACTTTGCAGCAAATCCGACGCTAATAGCTACCAGATCATTCACACGAGTGCACCAGGTCAAGTTAGACACACTCAAGTATTCAATACCACCTCCACTTAGGATACTCCGTATTCCATTAGGTTCAAGCCTACAGTAATTGGCTTCCAAATGAGTCAGAGTTTGAGAACATCCTTGAAAGCCAGCACCAGTTAGATTTCTACAGTAGGATATTCTGATTGCTCTAAGACGACGGCAGTTTTGTGAAATAGCTCTTACGCCATAATCAGAGATTCGAGAGCAATACGAGAGATTCAGATCTTCTAAAGCTAGGCAAGAATTAGATAAGGCCTCTAACCCATAATCTGTAACATTACACCGGTAAAGACTTAGTATTACCAACAAAGAACAGCCAGATGCCACGCAGGAAAGACCACTATCAGTTATCCCAAAACAGCAGTCTAGATGAAGACTTTGCAGTTTTGATCCATGACGTGGTAACAAAGACAAACCCGAATCTGGAAGCTCGGTGCATCCGGACAGGGACAATGATTCTAGGTTCTGGAAACGGTTCAGAAGCCTATATAAGTGTAATGTACTGATTCGGGTGTTAGTTTGAGATAACGATGAAACATTAAGCATAGTGAAAGAGCATTGAAACTGTAAAAATCTTCTATTTAGATTTTGAATATGAAGCCAGCGACGACAGGTTAAACCAAATGATTCATGGTCAGATCCACGGTCAAGGTGTTGGAAAATAAAGAGTAAACAATCGTCAGGAAGCTGCATGATATATCCAGAGAAGTCATCTGATGGATTATCCATTTCTACCAAGTTAACACTCCAGCAAGGGTGTGAAGCTCTATAGTTCACAATAAACTTTTTTTTTTATTAGGACTTCCCAATAATTTTATTAAAAGACATGCTAGAGTCTTAGAAGAGGTAGACGACTCGAAAAAAGAATGAGCAAGTCTTCAAACGCATGACCTATGAGATCACTGACTTATGGCAAAGAAATCTGGTTTTTGAACTATGAAGTCCCCTAAGAAGTAGGAACTAGGAAGATAGTTTACTTATCAACCAGAGTAAAATGTCAATGTTCCCAATGGTCAGTTTTAACTATACTTACCGTCTTTGGTACCAATACCAAAAGAGAAATGATTGGAGGATGTTAACTTGAGAGGTTAGCCACACAAACCAACACTGCAAAGAATAAGAAAAACCGCATATTAGTTGACATTATACAGCATTGAGCATACCATACATGAATATCTTGTCTTTTGTTTATAATTAAATTTTCTCTACAACAACATACCCAGTGTAATTCCACAAGTGGGATCTGGGGAGGGTGGATACACGGCCCTTACCCATATCTTATGAAGGTAGAGAGGCTATTTTAATGTTTTCAAGCATTACAAAATTAATAAAGGTAAATTGCAACCTCATCAATATATTATAAGATGCTTTGTGCATGCATATGTCCACTTCAATATGAATACATAACCTCAAATTTCTGCAGTACTACTAATGCATACTAGGTACACTTATAAGATAGATTTATAGCGACCTAAGTCAAAGGATGCAAGAAAAAACAAAAGGAAATAAAAAAAACCCTTAATGAAAGCTACTTAATTGTACTTTATGCATGCCAAGGTGTAGCTAGACAATAAAACCATCGGGAGCTATTTTCTCAGAAATATGCCATGCACATCTTAGCGAGGATACAAAATATTTACAAGACTGATGTGTATGCTTAGCTTCATCTCAAGCCCGGACTATCTGGATATAGAAAAGTATCCTACATTTGGTGAAGTCTTGAAAATATCCCAACTGTGATAGTAGTGTTACTTGGAATTTTTTGTAATTTTTTTTCTCAGTTAAAGTATTTCATTGTAATATCAAGGCCAACTTGGCAATATACAAGAAATATACCTAAAAGGAGAAACCTACAATATATGGTTCTCTCCAAAAGCCACCCAATCCTCTATACAAACAAGAACTACACAGGTGCACCAAAAAAACTACAAGGGATTGAAGACAACTCCTCAATCGAGCAAAGTTCATCTCCACCCCTTCAAAAGCCTCCTATTTCTGTCTTTCCAAATGATCCACATTATAATCCACGGGCATAAACATATGTATATGGTATCACAAGGAATAGATGTGCAATTCATCTTGGAAGATGAGCTTCAAAAGCACTAGCTATTCTGCAGACACGCTTGATAATAGCTTGGACAAAAACCTCTCCTAAGGGGTGGGTCATTTGGTTCAAACCATGATATCTCAAGATTATAATTAATCCACCTTCTATATGGGATAAGTTATACTAAGATTTTGGTAAACAATAATACTAATTTTAGCTAATACCTCCAACCAAACACGGGATAAATTTAATCACAAAATTTGTTCCGGGATAGCCCACCTAATTCGTTGAACCAAATGGCACTAAGAGGTTGGATTAGGGGTCGAAAAAGGAAATCAACTAAGGAGCAGCAAATAACAACCCAAAAGAGTTCCTTTATTCCCATTCTAACTTGAAATATTTTGTAAACTACAGATAGCTCTAAGGTCCCCCTTGCTCCAATAAGTCAGCATTTTGGGTTTAGATATTCTAAGAGAAAGATTTAACAACGCTTGAATGACCAGAGGCAGAGCAAGGGATTCTAACAAGGGTATTCAAAAAAAATGCAAGAATGCATGCAGACCTATGTCAATGGATATGATGAACAACAACAACAACATAATACCCAGTGTAGTCCAACAAGTGGGATCTCGGGAGGTTAAAGTGTATGCAGACCTTATCTCTACCTCATAGAGATAGATAAACATTTGACGTATACACAAAAACATTTGTTTCCCCCCTATTTACCTATCATAATCATCTGACAAATGAGATTCAACTGAACTTCTTGAATCCACCTAGCTCCACGACCCCGCCCCTGGCCTGAGTCGTGGGTGAGCACTTAAAAATACACATCGCAGATTTTAGATAATTTGAATCAAATAGATAATACAGTACACCTAAAGTTTGCAATTGTTCTTCACATTGACAATTTCAAATAGACTACATAAAACTCAGTATAATGATTAGCTGAACAAAGTGAAAATATAGAGCATTTCCCTCTACAAAAAATTGTTCTGGAATTCTTCAATCCTCAACTTACACATGAAAACTCTGAGAGAAAAAACAAATAATAGATTCAAAAACAATATTTTTTGAGCTTCTAGTGATTTTTTTACCTATTTATCTGCCGAAAAACACAGGATTCAATTGAACTCATTGTAGACATGCTACAGCTAACAAATCTGGGTTCTATAAAACTACAATTTCATCAAAATCTCACCAAAAAAATCCACAAAATTTATCAAATTCGGGATGATAAAGGCGTTTCCAGACTTAAAAAAAAAAAAAAATCAAAATCCGAAGGCCGTACCGGAGAGAGGCGAAGATAAGAAATTGGAACTATTGTTAATCACTCACATCAGCATCGGAATTTATAACACCTTGTTTGGATGTGATGCAAATTTAGTGATATGTCACACATCTTATTGGTGCGGTTTGATGATGGGGAGGTTTGTCTTCGGAGTTTTTGTGTGATAAAAACCATCACCTAAATTTAAATAAGTTTTATAAGAGTATAGATTATTTTGTTGTATAAAGCATGTGTTGGTTAGTCATAACTCTTATGCTTATAGAAGAAAACATTGTCAAAAATAGGATATTGGGACACATAAATGTATATGT